TAAGCAGGCGATGAAGCAATCGTACCCAAGATGCCGGGATCCTGAGATTTGCTCATGCCGGTAGCAACCCTCTCCAGGGATCAATGGGATCCAATGCGAGTCGCATCAGTCTTGTTTGGGTTTTTTTCAAAGTGGAACCTCTCTAAAATGGTCGGTTTCTTTTGTTTTAAAAGGCTTGCCCTGAAACTAAGACCCCCCCGTCATTTGAGCCAGATCAAAACCCGGCAAGCAAAGCTTTGTAATTTCCTTGACAGTCAATACGGCCGCCCAACCACAATTCTTTGCATTCCACAAAACCCCCACCAAAAATCACCAACAAACACAATCCACAAAGAAACTGACGTCCACAAACAAATCCACAACAAATCATAAGCAAAATCGGCTATCGGCTGTTGCGGTTTCCCATTGGCACCAGCCGCACGAATTCGAATTCGGGCTGAGGCTATTTGAAGGCCTGGGAAAGGTCGCTGAGCGCGTTGGGCAAGAGCTGCTGCCTTCGCCCCAGATTGGGGTAGGCCCGGTGAGAACCCCGGGTCAAAGTAGAGCCCTGCTTGCTAGTACAATAGGTACGGAAGGACCGAGTCAGGGTGTTGGGAAGGAACCCAGGGATCCACTTACAGGAAACCATAGGGGATTGCTCACAGGGGTCCTTTGAGCACCGAAATCCATTTCGCGCCACCTAAGAAACCCTGGAATGATTCGATTCCCCAAGGAAAATACCAACCACACACCACCTTTCAGAATCAGAACCGGTTTTTTGATTCGATTCACCAGCTTAAGTACCAACGCAATGGTTTCAACCATGGGTATCCAAGTGGTGCCTAAGAGGATTTCGTCCACAGTCCTTTTGGGCTGTTTTGGTAGAAACTCGCTGGCGATTCCTGGTTGGCTGCAAGGAATACACCTCCCCTGGCTGATTTTGATGGGTGCGCCTTGGGGAGCGGGGCACCCAAAACACCCCTGTTCTTTGGATGGGTTCATTAATCCTTTGGGCCAGCCAGCAAACCCTCCAGGGTTCCATGTGTGGTATAGTTCCAAAAGGACTGAAACTGAGGGACCTCTCCGAAACAGCTCGCAGTTTCAATCGGGATGTGCGACCCGATGGCCTCCTCTCCGAAGAGACGACACCCTCTTTTTCGCAAGAGAAGGATCGAAGGACTGTGACGGCGCCAGAGGTCGAATTGGCCCGTCTCTGTTTTGCAGCATGAGACCCGTGGATCGGGTGGCCGGTCTGAAGCAGTTCTTGCCTGGCGTGCTGCGCGCAGCAGCTATATCCAACCAAAGGCAAGCATGGACATCAGAGTCATTGGGCTACTAGAGTCGGTGGGCTGGACAATTCTAGACATGCTGAGTGAGCTTGCCCATTGAAAAGAGTCAACATCAAGCATCCATTCCGATCCCAGCCACGAATCTCCACCAACCGCCCAAGCTGCTGATATAATATAACAACGGCGAGCCAAGAAACACGCCCGCCGACTCAGGCAAGCAGTTGTCGCGGAATCGTCACTCCAGAGATGGGGCCCGGGACCTGAAACGAGGGGGGGGGAGCTGGACTGGCAATCAGGTCACCGTGATAAGCGCGTTCGGCAAGAGGTGCAATTCACTTTGCAGATATGTCTTGCTTTGTGGCAGGGGAGCTCGGAGTTTTGCGCAGAATCCTGCACTTTATTTGGGGCTCATTCGCAACACACTACCTCCCAACAACCCCCACCTACCGTTAGGAGACAGCAAGCAACATTGAAGGTGTGTTGGGGTTCTGGAGGTGGTGGTGGTAGTCGGTGGCGGGTCATAGGACCAGTTCCATGATATCAGCAGGCGCAGCTAACCAACATTGAAGCATAAGAAAACAGTGTATATGGTCATGGCAGGCAAGTGCCCACATGTTTGGAAAATTTTCAAAACGGTGGACCCTCGTTGGTTCAAAGGAAGCACCTTTTTTTGGCAGAATCTCTGCCGAAAGTACATTGGCAAGATCTGCCAACCTAGGATGTCAAGCGACGCCTGGAGCGGGAGGCGCGGGAGGGTCCGGTATGTGTGCTTGGACCATTGGAATGATACCGATGCAAGGGCTTTAACCACCATGTTGAGGGTCTTTTTTGCAGACCATGACTTCAACTCCGGAACTCAGACCATTTGCAGGCAGGCGTCCCGTTGTACGTTGACTAGGGCAATGTCGTGCCTGCAAGGGTGACGGCTCCGCACTCTGGAAGAAATACCCTGACCGGATCAGCTGTATATGGGGGTCTTCCCAACATGACACCTGAACCTGGAAGATCTTTTTGACCTGGCAGGTGCTATAGGGGACATGGGGCTGTGTAGGGATTTGGACCCCAAACATGGCTTTGGCATTCTTTTGGTCTCCCCGAAAGACACACACCCGACGGGGCGCGTCCCTTGCAGCCAAGCCTGCTTCCAATACACACATAAACAGGCGCACAAGCACACACAAACAACCAATCAAACCAATCAAACAACCAAACAAACAAACGAACAAGCAACC